GTGTGTGTGTGTGTGTGTGTGTGTGTGTGTGTGTGTGTGTGTGTGTGTGTCATTTCTGTGTTCTGAGCGATGATGTTAAAATACTGAACCAGAAGTGTGTTTTAATAAAAACACACTTTATGATGGTTTCTACACTTGAACTGAGCTCAGTCTGTTTATAAATAAGTTTTATTCTAAATACAAACTTGTGATTTAACATATTTAACACATTAATCTCCCTCCTCGTGCTGTAAACCTTTAAAATGACTTCTGTTTGTGTTCGTTGTGTGACCGCAGCAACACATCTCTTTATTTGTTGTGTTTGGTTTCATGTCAGCCTCGTTGTGGACCTCCGGAGTCGGACTGCTTCTCCACCATCTCCAGCGGCAGCTACGTCACCACCGACCCCAACAACTCAAACACCGGTGAGCAGCAGGAGCATTTAAATTCAACTCTGCAGGATTTACTGTTACTAACTGCATCCATCTTTTATTTAGTAGATAAATCTCTGTCCTTCAGAGAAAGTGGAGCAGATTTAAGCCACGTCTCGTCTCCGTCCGCTGTGGAGGAAAACTCAGCCGTGGCTCGTCCCGCTGCAGCAGTTCTCTCAGTGTTTAATGACAGCAGCATCCAGAGGATTATTGATAAATATACCAGAGAGCTCAATGTGTCCCTCAGCTCTGCGGGGATGACAGGTACATTTAATACCACCGTGAACTGAACAGAGGAATAAAACTCTGAGTAATCACTGGATCTATGGCTGATCTGCTCACAGTGATGAAGAATCCAGCTCTTCAGCTTTTCATCTGTTTGTTTCAGGGAGGACGATGGAGGATGAAAACTCAGGTGGTCGGTTCGATCTATCACTCACAGCAGAAGCTCAGAGGAGCGTCACGGTCAGTTTCTCACCTGTTCAGACGCTGCTATCAACATCATTTGAGACTGCATGTGAGAATTATGAAATGTGCAACGACTATTTGTTGTATTATTTTTAGGTGGAAAGCAGTAATTGGGTCAGTTCATTACTGAGCCTGCGAGTGGACATGGGTTGTTTTGTTTTGTTTGTTTTCTTTTTGCAGTCCCACACAATACGTTTGGATACCCTCTCAAAATTTTTGTGTTCCAATGCAAAACTTTTGTGTTATCTTGCAATACGTTTGCGTTATTTCACAAGATGTTTGCATTATCTTGCAATACATTTGCATTCCCTCGCAAAACTTTTGTGTTCCAATGCAAAACTTTTGCGTTATTTTGCAAAATTTTTGCGTTGTCTTGCAATAAGTTTGCATTATCTTGCAATGCGTTTGCATTATCTTGCAATAAGTTTGCGTTATCTTTCAATAAGTTTGCAGTATCTTGCAATACGTTTGCGTTATCTTGCACTGCGTTTGCATTCCCTCGCAAAACTTTTGGGTTCCAATGCAAACCTTTTGCGTTATTTTGCAAAATTTTTGCATTATCTTGCAATAAGTTTGCGTTATCTTGCAATACGTTTGCGTTATCTTGCAATAAGTTTGCATTATCTTGCAATACGTTTGCGTTATCTTGCAATACATTTGTGTTATCTTGCAATATGTTTGCGTTATCTTGCACTGCGTTTGCATTATCTTGCAATACGTTTGCGTTATCTTGCAATCTGTTTGCGTTTTTTCACAAGATGTTTGCTTTATCTTGCAATACGTTTGCATTCCCTCGCAAAACTTTTGTGTTCCAATGCAAAATTTTGGGTTCCAATGCAAAGCTTTTGCGTTATTTTGCAAAATTTATGCGTTATCTTGCAATGCGTTTGCGTTATCTTGCAATAAGTTTGAGTTATCTTGCACTGCGTTTGCGTTATCTTGCACTGCGTTTGCGTTATCTTGCAATGCGTTTGCATTATCTTGCAATGCGTTTGCCTTATCTTGCAATAAGTTTGTGTTTTCTTGCAAAGCATTTGCGTTATCTTGCAAAGCATTTGCGTTATCTCGCAACGCGTTTGCGTTATCTTGCAACCCGTTTGCGTTATCTTGCAATGCGTTTGCAATGCGTTTTGCTTTATCTTGAAATGTTTTTTGTGTTATCTCTCAATGCGTTTGCGTTATCTCGCAATGCATTTGCGTTATCTCGCAATGCATTTGCGTTATCTCGCAATGTCCTGATGCATCTCAGTAATGCAGGTAAAAAATCAAAAGGAAAAAAAATTGAATAGGTCCTCTGGACGGGTTCTTCTTCCTACAGCGCTGCCATTGGCAGTATCTCTTCACCCCCTGTTAACAATAGGTATTAATTAGGTGTCAACGATAGCCATGTGATGTGAGTATCAGTCACATGGAGGCAGGACTCAAAAGCCTGAATTTTGCCTGAAACTCTCAGACTGAAGAAGTCTCTTGGAAGAGAGACGAAACGTTTCATTAAAGAAGAACCCGTCCAGAAGACCTACACAATTTTTTTTCCTTTTTATGTCGCAATGCATTTGCTTAATCTCGTAATGCGTTTGCGTTATCTCGTAATGCGTTTGCGTTTCAATGCAAATCTTTTGCATTAGCTCGCAATACCTTTATGGTACATTGCAAAATTGAATACCTTTGTGTTACCTCACAGAGTTAAAATATCTGAATATTGCATATGTCCATGCATGGCTGTAATATGTTCACTTTGAGGCTGAATTAAATTAGCAGGCTAACTCATAATGAACAGCTTTTGCGTGTGTTGGATCTTAGTTAATGTTTAGAAACAAATTACTGTCAGCTCCAGAATCGTTTTTAGCAGAAAACAATCCCACTTTAGTTATGAATAAAACAAAACTACAGTTCTAAAGGTGACCAAATAATGGCTTATGCAGAAGTTTTACCCAAAAATATTGTTTTAAAAAGGTTTTAAAAAGGTCTGAAATAAAAACATCTGTAAATCTGAAGGATGTTTGTTTCTGCAGGATGTGGAGCAGGACCCGTCTTTCTCTGATCAGGACACTTTCCGGCCATTGATTGGTCATCTGACCGACCAATCATCGTGCCTCGCTGCCAATCAGAGGGAGTCGGTCCTAGAGCAGCTGGTCGGGCAGCCGTCTGCTCACTCCTCTATGATCGCTCCCCTGCCGGGACCCCCAGGACCACCGGTCTCCCTGAGCTTTGATCAGACCGGGTGGGACTCCACTGTGAGTCGGATGATTGGCCGCCTTTCCCACCAGTCCGGTTCTCAATGGCCGAGCCCGGGTCAGGACGAGGACGCCAGTGAGCTGGGGCGTCGGGAGGTGTTGGGGGCGTCGTGGTTGGATGGAGGTCCAGAGGAGAGTCGGATGAGACCGCTGGTCGGGGAGCTGGATGAGTCTGAGCAGCACAGTGGAAGCTTCGGTAACAAAAATAATAATAATAATAATAATAATAATTAAAAGGATGATTTTGGTTTTTATGGCAACAAAATATTTTAAAAAATTTTGTTCCAGGTCTCTTTAAAACCATTTGTAAATATCCTGAGACCAGCTGGGGACAACATTTTTACAGTTAACGTTCAGTCCTTAGGTTCTGTTAGAAATAAGACGTCATCTGGGTTCAGGTTAGACGCTGACGCTGCTGCTGTTTCCAGGTGAAAGCAATCGAGCAGTTCCTGCTGATGTGCCATCAGACCAGACGTCCTCTGTCCCACGTGTTGCTCCACCTCTACAGGACCAGACCGGTCCAGTGGACCTGGACTCTCATGTGGTTGAAGAGGGTGAGCTTAACCTCTTGAGCCCCTTGTCCTCGGTACCGGGGGCAAACCAGCATTTCCTGTTTTCTATATTTTTTAACTTCTGTTAACTTCAGATCTGTACGTCGAACCTGGACAAGTTTGGTATCAATAGAAAGCTAAGAATCTAAAAGCTAAAAGCTCATGGAAACTATTTTATCATTCAACAAAAACATTTTAAATGACAGGCAGTTGAATCAGAAAGTAAACAAACTGTACAAAATGGGATTGTTGCAAATCTGTAAATACATCACAACAAATCTGTAAATACATCACAACAAATCTGTAAATACATTACAACAAATCTGTAAATACATTACAACAAATCTGTAAACACATTACAACAAATCTGTAAATACATTACAACAAATCTGTAAATACATTACAACAAATCTGTAAATACATCACAACAAATCTGTAAATACGTCACAACAAATCTGTAAATACGTCACAACAAATCTGTAAATACATCACAACAAATCTGAAAATACGTCACAACAAATCTGTAAATACATCACAACAAATCTGTAAATACA